TAATGTCAGTTTATAATTTAAGCAATTTAATCACATATAAACAATTCAATAATAACACTTAGTCCAAATAGTCAAATCATTTTGGTTAGAACTTAATTAATCTCCAGCGGAGTCGTCATTTTTGTTTTACCTAAAAATATATATAATATATATAATAGTAAAAATGACTAAGTTTCGAAAAAACAATTAATCTTATGATTTAAGAGAAATCAATTTTCCGAATTAACAGAGTCGACACTTGATTTTAGTAAAAATCAAGAAAACTTTAAAATATTTTTCAAAAGATCTAAAACAGATAAAAATCAGTTGAAAAGGGTCCGAAGTTCAAATATACATTCCGAGAAGGTGTTAGGCACTCGGGATGTCCGCTAACTCACGGTTGACCGACGATTTGAGTAAATGACCTTGAATTTTCTAAAATTTATCAAATAAAGATTTTTTATCCATTCTATTACTTAAAATTATTATTATTTTTTAATTAATTAGAGAAAAGAAAGAGATTACTTTAATAGAGAGTGACTAAAGGTAGTTGATTGGAATTAGAATAATGATAAAATAAAGGTTAAGTAATCTATAAAAAATAAATTTTTACATTACTAATTCATCATTTATCATTTAAATTAATCATCTCTTTTTAAGGAAAAATAACTAAGGGGATAACCTAAAGTGATAAACTTAAGGGTTGACAAAATCAAAAAGTAGAAATAAAACCAAGTAAAATTATATGTATACAAAATTTTTGAATATATGCATATAAATGAAAATGAATGGCTATCGTTGAGAATCAATTAAATTGAAACCAAAATGTTAGTCAAAGAGAGGAAGAGGAAGAGAAAAATTAATTTGGGCTAATCAGCCCAAATCCACAAATCTGATGGGCCCAACTTCTTCCCTTGTCCTAGGTCTAAGTGGGACTTGACCCTTGCCATTTTCCTTTTTACACATGCACTAAAACTATTGGGCTCATTTGCCCTCGAAAATATATGTATACAATTCGTGTATACTAATGTATACAAGGATATCTGACCCATTTGGGCCTTCCAAGATCGGCATTTTTTGTTGAAACTTATGCCTTGTATTTTTTATCTGCTTTTTCACGTCTTTGCGCCTACATATAGTATATTCCAACTGTATACCGTTGTATATAATCGGTATATCAACATGCTTTTGACTTTTCGGGGCTAGGAAATTGAATTTCCAGCAACATGCTACCGCTCTCAATCTGTACATCATTTTTTAGGAGGCTGGACGACTCGATAAGCAAGAGTATTGGGCCACAAATGCGAGGAGAAGAGATATAACCCATGAGGATTCAGAGGAGATTTCACATGAAAGGGAACAGATGAACAAGAATTAGCAGCTACTCGAAATGGCAAAATAAAGGAAATAACCAACAAAATTCTTAATCCAATCTCGACTAAAACGGGGTTCAATTGATATTAATCGATGAAAACTTGTAATATAACACTAAAAGGGGTGATAGGAATCATATAAACTTGGGTTTAACCATGTCAAACTTTAAAGTATAAAAAAAATCAAAAAACAACAAAACAACAGGTGAACGGTAGCCATTAAACTAATGGATATAAGTGATAAAAATTTGAAAAAAAAAGGGAGCATGTCGCTTGTTGCTGGGAGAAAACTATAGTCAAATGTTGCTGCCAAGAAAAGGCATTTACTGCCCATTATTAAAATACACAACATATAAACAATAAAGAGAGGAAAGTAAGCTTATTTTCCCATTAGAGAGTATCACTTATGCCGATCCAAACTTAACAGATTGCCATACAAAATCATCCGGAACAAAAGCATACAACTAGAGAGAATACCCACGAACTAAATCTTGTAACGGCGGAAACTCCAGACGACTTAAGAACTACATATTATATATCGGAAAGGAAACTTCATACCAAAAGGTGTTCGGAAGAACTAAATTCCAGCAATGTAGACAAGAAAAATAAAAAAAATTAAACGAAATCATAGAATATGCACAGCACAGTAGAACAAATCTTTAGCGCCTAAGGATCATAACAAGACAATGGAAATGATTTTATCAACTAAGAACTCAAAGGACCAATAAGCTTAGATTTTAGGTAGACGTATAGCTATAGTCGAAGAAACTAAAAAATACATTTTTTAGGACACAGGCAACCAAAATAATCCCAACATAAACCTTATACTATAAAGAAACGAATACTCCGTTACCAACTAAAATAAAGGATCAGTGATGATGCTAACATGCTTAACAAATGACTCAACCGACCTAACAAGCACAAAACCAACCATATGCAACATCTGAAATATTCCCATGATGCTTGATCAAAACAAGATACAAAAAAATAAAAAAATCGATCAAGGGCAGCCATACATCACGTTTAAACTATCAAACTCGACTACATTGACCAACATAATAACAGTATCACATTAAAGCAATAAAGACGAGAAAAATATCCAAAGGGAAGATGTTACCTTTTTCGGGCAGCGGACTAGGGACAAGGCGAGCAAATGGGGGGCTTGTCTCCACTTTGCGACTTGAATTCGAACAATGATCGAGGATACTAAGCACTATCTTAGACCTAAATAGAGCTAAGATGTGTTTTTCGTGTATATTCTTGTCTATTTTCTTCAACTAATATGAATGTTCTCTGCTTAAGAATAATCTTCAGGAAAAAAAAAATTCTCCCCCCATAACAAAGGAACTGTAAAGAATATATATCTAGATGAATTAGGGTTTTGATAAATGGGGGAGGGGGGGGGGGATGGATGAAAAATTTGATTAAAGGTCCCTGAATTCTAAATTTTAAATTAAAATCTTCACCAATTTTGGACAGGCCACCTTTTCTGAAAATTCAACTCATTCCTAAAGAAAGAAAAGTGTGATCAATGCTTAAGATCGACTCACCCGTCCTTGGGAGGGCGACGTGGAGCAATCTCGTCGTCTCAAGGACGACTCTCGCGTGTCTCTAGTGCAGCTGTGACCGTACGAATGAAAGGGACGTTAAGGAAGCCGACGAAAAGTCGTACCTCCCTTCTGCTGCTTTTTTCGCGTGAAGGAGAGAGAGCACAATTGGGTCGGGTTGGAAATTGTTGGGTTGCTGCTGAAAGTGCTTTCTGATGGGCTGGTTATGCTGGAAATTACATTGGGTTATGATTTTTCCCTGATTTTGAGTTAAAGTGATTGGCTGGGGCAGCTGTTATTAAGTGGGCTGAGGTTTGGAATATGAGGGAATGGGCTGAACGATTGGAAATTGGCTAGTAAATGGCCCAAAAATTGGTCTTTTAGAGTATTGCCAATTTAGACAAATTGTAATTGGCCAACTAGATTACAATTTTAAAAAGAGACGAATTAATATAATTAATTAACAAGCTTCTTAAGGTAAATAAAATAATTAATTCGAATATAAACTAAAGATTCAAAATATAAGCTTAAAATAATTAACCAAATATTTATATAAAATGAAGTATTACTTATTTTTTTTTATTTTGAATACTTATAAAATCATAATAATTATATGAATAATTATGTGAGACATATTCATTATCTAAAACAATATAAAAAAGTATCAAAACCTTACTTAAAATAACTTGCACGTTAAATTTTTAATTATTATTTATTTCATTTTTTAAAAATGAAATTAATTATTTTAAACCGTTTAAACTCGAGAAGCTCGCTAGTTAATTACTATCGAGGAGGGTCAAAATTGGGTGTCAACAGTATTGTACCATTACTATACGTATAATATTTGTTTTGATTGTTACTTAAAATGTATTGTACTGTATTGTTAAATTTTGTTGTTATGTAACAATGGAAACCCTATTTTATGGAACAGTCAATTTGGTGTGTTCCGATTGTTACCTAATTTCTTTTTTCAATTATATATTTACATCATATTTCAAAATACTATTTACCCTTTACTTTAATTATTTAAACATAGTCAAGCCTCCTATCCTAGAATAATTAAGGATAATCAAAGTAAATTTATAAATTACAATTAAAATGTTATTAAACAATAACAAATAATACAATCTAGCCAAACATTGTAACTATCATACAATACACTACAATAGAGTACAATACAATACAAAAAAAATATGAAACAATGGGTAACAATGATCCAAACAAAGTGTAAATTAAATGATGGCTGGATGAAGGATCATTATCAAAAAATTGTTTCTAGTGTAAATAATGTGGACAATTCACAGGTTTCTTCTCAATTTTGGACAGATAGTCATTTTCTGTGATCCATTCTTTGATCAATTATCAATCACCTTGCAAAACCACCACAATTTGTTGATAAAATTTAAAATTCTAGTTAAAGTGTATAGAATTTTAATATGAAGTTTTATGTACCAAAAGCAATAAAACTAGAACAAATCTATATAGAATAAGGTTTAGGATGGGAATTTAATTATATTTGTAATTTTTGTTGTATATAGTAGTAAATTCTGAGGAACTTCCATCCATGGGAGTTGTCCTGTTTTACCAAAAGGAAAAAAATTAATCGTTTGCCTGCTCTGTGGAAATGCAATATTGATGAAAAATTAATTAATGTGCCCTAATCAATTTTCGATGATGGAGAAGTAATAAAAACATCACCATGCACGATTCTAATTTAAGTTTGCTTAGTTAATTAATTCTTAGCTCTGGCTGATACAATAATAAGATTAAAGGCCCACTAATGTTTGGGTGGGTGGTGAGGGTTGGGACTTGTAATCAGGCCCGATCCACATTATATAGAGGGAAGTATGTGCACCTACGAACTTCAATTTATGGGATACAATAACCTGCCAGACATAATTCTGATGTTACTTCTAACATTTTAATTAATAAGTTCTTGATGGGATGATAATATATTTTAGTGGACAAGTTAAATATTTCCATCAAATATCAAACAAACAGACCATATTATTTATGTTGTTAAGCCTTATGTATCAAACACAATCAGTAGGTATAAGAGTGCCAATAGATCATGTGAGTTGTCTGATCTTAGACCAAGATATGCATAACTCTTTCATGTCCATTCCATTAGTCGACAAAATTGACGTTATTGCTATACATGGTGTTGAAGTGCTGACTGAGATGAGATGTAAAGTAAAGAGTATTCATATAGCGGAGTGTACGTGTTGGAAAGTCAATTTGGAGGCATAAGAGCTGCAGCAGCGCCAAACAATCCTGTGGTATTTTGAGTTATCTGATTAGGCCAAGACATGATATGCAGTCTAATGCTTTCACTTCTTTCCATTGCTAAATCGAGTGTGTCCTTAATATCAGCATGATCGCAGCAATATATTAGACCTTCTGAGCTAACTGTTGATGGCAAAACACTCTTTCCTTCTAGCCTTGAAATCACAACATGATGCTTGCTTTTGTTTGCCTCCTCAAATAAATGCACTAAACCGGCTCGTTCTGCTGCTGTCCCCTTTGCTACTGAATAAATACTGACAAATCCCTGAAAATGAACATGTTAAGAAAATCATCACTTCATAGTTATATTATTCAATTTGCTGTTTTCCGAAAAGAAAAGGTGATAACTATTACTTCATCTGTTCGTTTAATGTCTATTCCGAATCTGGATTCTCCTGGTTCAGGTGTTAATTCAAGTGGAACCTCTTCAATTCCTGGTAGATACCATAGCCTTACACCTTGTGCGGATTGATGATAACCAACATAGCCATCTAGTTGCCTACTACAAACATCTTTCCCACTTGTGTTTCTCCTCTCCTAAACACAAAAATGCATGAAAAAGAACGAAAAGATTATTCATTTAGTTATATACATTGTTAGTTAAAGAATTTTCATATTCGCGGTGACCTAATGTTGTAAAGAATTATCTTAAACTGTCAGTGTATACAAGTTAAACTCAACCAGAAAAGGAAGAGAGGAATACCAAATTGTTGATTTGCTCGGTTTGAATGTTAACGAATACAAGAGGGATTCCTGAAGATACTGCTGCTGAAAACCAGGCCATGGTACGAACTAATGTGGCTTCTACTCTATACTCCCTTGTCAGTGGCATAAAAACTATGGAGCTAACAACTGTAGAATGAGAATCAGGTAGATAAGTTCCCACCTTCATCTTCCAGTCATATTGTAATCCCATTTGGTTATAACCACGTGATCCTGAATTAACCATTCTTCTGCTCATTTCTGCATAATCAAACAAACAGTTCATTACAATGAAGTTTCTGGTGTACTGCTGCAAGAATACAGTATTAAGGTGTTTAATGCTATGTAATAGCTAGCGGAAAAGAAGAATCATACCCTGGAGTTCAGTGCAACGTCCCAAAGTTAATTCTGCTATAACAGCAAGATGTCTCTCATCAGATGCTGCTCTAACAACAAACCTTTTCTGGAGATTTGATCGTCGTTCAACTAAGACATATCCTTTGAGTTTAAGTGTACTCTCTCCCCTTCTAACCTTGAACCAAATGAAATGTCCAGCAATTTTACCGAGAAATAAGGTTAACTCTGACCATGCTTTGGCCTGAATAAAGGAGTCATCATCAGACGCTAACTCAGCAACGCCTTCTATGATGTCCCCTGGTAGTGGCATGCTCACATCCCATCCATCTGAATCTTTTTGCCTCACTTTCTTCACACCAACAACTTTCTCAACACTCGCCATCTTTTTCTTGAAGATGGAACAATAGTATTTCTTGAGTAGCCGCAATAGCTTCATATATATCAAGCACTGATGAACCCTCTTTGTTAATGAACTCGAGCACGGACATCTCAAAGTGAAGTAGATTTCTAGGTGTGAACGTCAGAAAGGTACTATGGTCTTCAATATTTTGCTTAGTGAAATATTCTCTGGTTTGATGTATCCGAAGGGTCATCATTTATAAAACAGGCCGGCTCTATGGATTCTTGTGAGCAAAAAGGCAACAAAGTGAAAAACAACAAGCTGAACTAGAATGGAAGTTGCTCCACAACATGGTATATTCTGAGAATAAAACAAGCTACACTTTTGTCCTTTAACTACTAGGATGTTGGCATGAGTAAAAACAAAAATATCACATGGAAACAAAGCTGTATTAACTTTAAGACACTTGGAAATCCTAGCTTATGCTACATAACAAACTTTATTACAGAAAAAATATTTCAAACTCTTAAGCTTTGTACATACACAATATAGCTCATTTTGTACATTTAAATCTGCCTTCAACTATAAATATATGTACTAAGCTAAATCTGTACAGAAAAAATGATTGAAAATTACTAGTTACTATGTGAGGTCATTGTAAATGGCTGCAAGTTCCTTTTCCAGCTTCGCAATGTCAGCCTTTGCACTCTTCCTTTCTCCAGCATGAATAGAGTTTAAACTCTCTTGTCGCTTCGATATCTTCCTCTTAATGCTATTAATCTGCAATCATTTCCAAGGCAATGTGAAAATTCCGTGACCTCAATGATCAAGGCAATGTAGAAATGAGGGGCGGGAGACAAGAAAGAGACCTTTCTCGATGGCCATCTGCGCAAGCCATCCCTTCGGCAAACCCTTTTCATCACAGTAGGACACAAGTTCAATTTGATACCTGCTTCCTGAATGGAAAGATGAAGATAGTCTTCAAAGTCTTTCACGTTCATCATTTTAGTTCTTCTCCTCTGCTCTATCAAAAAAAAAAAAGAGTGATCAGAATGCAAAATCTCTACCAAAGATAACGAACAATCAAGTCCTTTTTTAGTATCATAGTAATAAGCTCTCCGCGTGCAGCAAACAACAAATTAAACCTGTTCTGAAAGAGAGATCTTTCCACGATTCACGCCACTATTAGTGCCCTCATTTTCATTTGCCATTCCTTGCTGTTCCGTTAGAACATTATGATCTGCTCGGTGATACAGATGAAAGTAGTAAAGCAAAAAAATTGTATCCTTTATATCAGATGACAGGACTAAGCAAAGATGTTACTTACGCAAATTTGTTGTAGATAACTGAAGTAGATTATTAATGTCATTAGTACGGACACCAGAATTAACACTTAAAGTTTGGTAGAATTCAGAGAGTGTATCTTCGAGCACTATGTAACCATCCTTCTTACAACCCTCGAAATATTGAACTAAAAATTCCTTCACTTTGCTTATACTGTCATTGCTAAAACTGTTTCAATCAGAAAAAAATAAAAACTAGAGTTAATATCATCGCCAAACAAGTGAAAAAAGTAGTATAAAATCGAAGAATACTCCATACTCAATTGTATCTGATGACATATGATCATCCATTGTGGATTTCTCAACAATTGCATGACTGATCCTTCCTATTGTTCCAAATATTCCAATCTTAGATAAGATCATACCTATAATAATAATAAAAGTAATTAACTAAACCAATTAAAAAAATATTTTACTCGTACAACGCCCCCAAACCAAATAGAAATTTAAACAAACAGTTCCCATACCATTGTCATGAATTATTTCTCTTAGAATTTGGCAATTATTATTCCCCGGAACTTCACCCTCTGGATTGGTACTACCCCCAATAAATCCATCTCCACTATCGAATGAAATTTCAAGCAAATATGGATCATAGTCAGGGAAACTTAAACTATAATTCAAATTTGTTTTATTTTCATTAATGGGTGGTCCTTGGTGGTTGTTGTTATCGCCGCCGACTATGGTTGGGTTTAAATTAATGGGTACTTGGTAGTTGATGTCACCATCAATGGTTGGGTTCTCATCATCAAAGAGTGAAAAATTAAGTCCGGTAAGAATATTATCATCAAAAGGATCATGATATGGCACAATGGATGTATCAAAATTGTCCATTATTTATGCGACAACGCTTGGCCTAGACCAAGCGGCGCCACAGATGGGTTGAAAGAGAAGAGAAAACAGAGAAAAGGCAACATATTTGAATATATTTATAAGTAGAATGGGGCGGGAGGGAAGTGGAAGTTAATAACCGTTGCATTCTTCACTTTGAATTTCTAGTGTTGCGATGCACCACGGACAATTTGTTTAAACGACATCGTTTACATCTCTTTTTCTTCGGTTTCAAAAATAATTAAGTCTTCTTTTTTTTTTGGTTACAATTTTGCAAATTCTCCAAAATGCAGCGTAAAATTATTAAGAGACAAAACCCATATAACTTTTCGATTTTTTGTACTTCTTTAACCAATTGTTTTTTAAAAAAAAATTAAAAACCAAATAATTTAATTAGGTCATGATTATAGGCAAAAATAACGGAAGGAAATAGAATCGAATCAATTATGTAGATTTAAAAATTATAATTACATACACTTACAAGATGAAGAGTATTGAAGATGAGGATTATCTCATCTATTTTATTAGGGAGAAAGAACAGTCATACTAGTAAAGATGACATATAGTATTCAGATTTATCCTAATTTACGGAAAAAATTAAGTACTTTATATTGGACATTTGATTCATTCATGTTTAATAATAATATTAGCTCGAAATCGCCTTCAATAATTAATTGCGAAAAAGGGCCTAAAATATCTTTGAAGTATTGAAAATGGTATAAATTACCCTCCATCCACCTATTGGCTCCAAAATACCCGTCTCATCCACATATTGCCTCCAAAATGCCCTTCTCATCCACTTATTTAACTATTTTAAAATTAAACTGTTAAATTTTTTTTGAATACTGAAACTCAACTATTGGTTATAATTTAATTTATTAGTACAATTTATAAAACGACCTAAAACTCACTCATTACTGACTAAACCCACCCAATTAATAAACCAATTATAATATCAAAATTGTCATAAACACTACTAAAACACGACAAAATTATAGATCCTGAAAATGATTCAAAATTATTCGAGTTCGAATCAAACCCTCAATCAAATTTAGGTTGAGGCGCTTATTTAGGAGGACAATTTCAATATGATTCTCTTTTAAACTTGAATTCGAAATTTATGATTAAAAGTAAAGAAGTAGTACATCCTAAAATAATTAATGCACTTTTTTTAATATAATTTTATAAATATTTATAATTTATTTTAAAACCTTTAACATATTAATTTTTTAAAAAATTATCTATGAAGTAACATCACATAATTGAGACAAAAAATTAATTAAAATGAACATAGTTTGACTTTTAAGTTTATCGCTAATTTTTATTTGACTTTTAAGTTTATCGCTAATTTTTATTTAGACACTTGAATGTATGATAAAACGCTCATTTGTAGTAGCGTTTCTGTTGTTGCATTAGTAATGTGATAGCTTTATTAATTTGGTGGGGTTTAATTAGTAATGAGTGGGTAATTGATTGATTTATAAATTATACTAATAAGTTAAATTATAACAATAGTTGAGCTCCACGTATTAAAAGAATATTTAAACAGTTTAATTTTAAAACCGTTAAATCAGTGGTCATACTCTATATATAAAATTCAGCCAGTAAGTTAAATCTAAAAAATTTACCCAAGTTTTCATGAACTTTGAATTGACTTTTATTTCTTGTTATTGAATTCTGATTCTTATCATTGATATTATACTACTTCATATATGTTGATTCTTAAATTGTTGTTCGTACTTATTTTATCACATCAACTCTATTTAGTTATAGATTGCTGAAGCTATTTTTATGCATTGACCTCTGACCATCTGAGTAAATTCAAAAAAATTTAGTTATCAGTTGAGAAAGTTTTTAGGTTGAATATTAATGGTTACAAATTAACTATTTTGTATTGAGAAAAAATTGTTAATTCAAGAAGATCATAAATAGTTTTAGAAGAAGTTTTTGTTAGATAAATACCATTTTTTTTCAAAGAGGCCCTTTTGAGTGTTTAAGTCCACAAAAATATTAATATGAGAATTATTGCATGTTTTGGAAATAGTATGGAGCACTGATTTAAGAATAAGTATAGATAACTCAAACCCCATAACCTGCGTTGCCAATGTAGATAGTTGTATTATCATGAGGCTCATGATGATGGTTGTCGGTTAGAAAAACTTCCCAAGAAAGTAAGTGCTATTTTAGAAATTGATATGCATTATCTTATTCAGATATAAAATTTTACTTGTTATATTACATTGCATGTTTTACTTTCAATCAAGTTATTTTCAGTATTCTTTTGGTTCAAATACTGTTTCATTAAGCTTTATTACATACCGTGCATTTCATGTACGAATGTCTTTCCATGATGCATCATTTATGATGCAGACACATGCACTCTATTGAGATCACTACCTTGTCAGCCTTCAATGAGACCTCCTTACTTTCGGAGGACTCCATTCATTATGCTTATCATTAATTATAATAGTTAGATAGTACTTTGAGATAAATGTGGATCTTACCCCGACACCTATCCGCAGTCTAGTAGAGACTTCATGAATAAAGTTAAAGAGTCTTTCATTATTTTTCTTTCAGATGTTTCAAAACAAATTCATTATCTATGAGAATTAGCTAAATGTTTTTGAATGCTCCTCATTACAATTTTCATATGTATGTATGTAGTCTTCCGCTAAGTAGTCAGCCAAGTCAAGGGTTTGTTTAGGACCAACAACGATTTTCAAGTGTCGGTCACGCCTAAGGGATAAACTCGGTGCTTGAAAATCAAGGGCAAACTTTTTTTCATTTTATCCAACATGTTAATTTTGCTTAAATTTATTTACTTTATCAAATTTTACATCGTTAATTTCAACAACAATTCAAATGAATTCAATCTATCACAATAATCACATTCTAATTCATAACAAAAATAATGACAAAACAATCTACCAAAATGAGAAATTTATCTAGACTTTAACGAACCCATCAAATTAATATCAAAAAAAATCATGGATGGTGGTACGGAACATCATCCATACATTGCACTAAGTGTCACTTGAGAGTCACTTGGGGTGAGGATTTAAGGTAAGAAGAAGGCAATGATTCATATGTATTAACTATGATTGAATATCATGTCTCTTATATTGTATTTCATGAAATATACCAAAATGACATAATTGTGTGGCTTTAAACTAAATGTCCTTTTTAGAATGCTTTTGCATGGTTATCATACTTAGTGCATATTTGTACTAACACCACTTTCTTCATCTTTTTACACCAAGTTTAGGTTGAGGTGACTAAAGGATCCTTCCTATATTGAAGCGGTTGGATTTTCTATCTCCAAGCTTTGGTATGTCCTCAAAGATTAGATCACACTTACCTTAGGAGTTTCTTTTAAATTCTTGTAATAGACTTCTAATAGTTTTCTTTCGATTGTAAAGGGTTGTGTCCCTCTGATGTTAAGACATGTCTACATTGACTATGTTGAGACTTAGTGTTCCATCATTTTAATGAATGAGTTTTTGATTGTTGACTTGTTTGAGAAAATTTTTATTTTTGCACTATTTTTATGCCTATGTGATGAATAAATGCTAAGGGCTTATATAAGACCTCTTCGAGGTCGAGTACGCCGTGTTACAACTTGGGGGTGCTCTCCGATCGTAAAAAACTTGGTACCAGAGCATAAGGTTTTGAAAATAGTCTTTAGATTCAAAGTCTTATAAGCCGCGTCTAGTAGAGTCTTGTTTATCAGTGTGAGTCGCGATACATCTATGGGCGAGAGACTATAGGACGTTAAAAATTACATTTCTTTCATATTGTTGAAGTCGTGCCTTAGAGTTGAGTTCTATGGTGTCTCTTCCTAATCCTTCTCTTGTGTTTATAGGATATGAATACGAGAGGAAGACCCGCAAGGAGAGTGAAAGAGGAAATTGTGAATGAGGGAGTTCCTCCTCAAGGTCCTCAAATTCTTCTCTTCTTAGCATCTGACATATTTTCTAGATACATATAATCTTAAGTTAGATATATGAACTGTTAACTGGATACATGTACACATGTTTTGTATCCAACATTATTGCATATCTATCGTATATTTGTTCTGTTAATTAAAACTCAATATAATTCTTTCATCTTGTTTGAATTGTTGCTATACTTAGATCTATTCTCGGCTTGAATGTGGATGATGAAGATTGAATCCCTGAAATGAAAAATTCATGAGTAGAAATAAACAAATAAAAGTTGTGTGATTTAGTGTAATATTATCAATGTGTAGTACATTTAACAAAAATTATTCGATTTTAAGAATGGTCAATCATTAAAGTGTTTGAGAAACACAAAAATTTAAAATATGAAATCTAATTTGTAAACTTTTTTAAAATTGAACTTAAGAACATTATGAATTTTAACTCAAATACAAAATCTAGATACATGAGACACTACACCATTTTAGGTCTACGACAACATTAAATCTGGACAACGCTTATAAAGTGTTGCCTAAAATACTTTTGGGGACGTTTTTAAAGTGTAGCCAAAATTTTTGACTTTTAATTACACTAATATTAGCAACACTTCTAAAGTGTACTCTTTAATGGGATAACCTACACTTTATAAGTGTTGTTATAGTTGGCAACAACTATTTACATAAATGGCCACACTTTTAAAGTGTGCTATTTTTATAATTATTAATACAACACATGAAAAATGTGGCCTTAGTGTTTTTCCCAAAATTTTATATTCCCTCTAACATTTTAACATTAAAATTTGATCTCCCTCCATTTTTATTTGGCCAAAAAAATAAAACATTAAAGAAATATTTAAAATAATAAAACATTAAAACAACAAAACGGGCAACATTACTGAAACTTCAGCTGAAACTTTCACTTTCAGCTGAAGAACAAATTTATGTTCAAAACTGAAGAACCCATTTGCAAGAACTGAAAAAGAGGATCGAAGAACGGAAGAAATCGATTTTCGTCACAAATTCTGTCAAAGTTCAGTTGAGAACACCATTTTCAGTCGAAGAATCAAAGAGCAATGTGACTCCTCTAAGGCGAACTGAAGAAGAAGATCCTCCTCTCCGAGCTTCGTTGTTCAAGATTGGAGAGCTGAAGAAGACGATTTTCTTCAAAAATTCTTGGGTAAAGTGTTGTTCCATCAGATTTTCTTTTGAAAGTTGAAAGAAAATGCTTCACAAATCAACTTGCTTCATATCTTAAAGCTTTAGGGTTGTTGGAATAGAGTTTATCAGGTAAGATATTTTATCTTCAAAAGTCTAAATTATAGCTCTAAGATTTTGATATTCTTTTGTGTCAGTCCAAAATTAAAGTTAGGGTTTTTATGACTTGTGTTATTGATACGAATTTTATTGATTTAGGGAGTTTAGTTTGTAGTTGTATGACGTATAAATGGGCAGATTATCTTTGACAGACTAATTTTTTCTCTTAAATGTTGAATGTAGAAGCTGAAGCTAAGTCAAAAGTATCTGAAGAACTGAGTTGTAGCTAAGTTATCTTTCTTCGAAGAACTGAAGTGTTGAAGCTGGTGATACCTATAATATTTTGTCCCTAATATAGATTTCGTCAAGTGTAAGTAGCTACTCTACATGAATTTGAAAAAGTTTTAATGTATGTTTTAATGTTACTGTTTTTTTAGTCTTTTTTAGTCTTCCTGAGTTCATGATTGTGCTCGTCTTAAGCTTGGTTTGTTCCTTTGTTAACAACATTGATTCTGTCTTGTAGCTATTTGCTGGTAAAATTTTTCTTTTTTCGACTACATGTCTTGAAGTGTCTAGAAGTCATTTTGTTGTTTGTCTAGTGCATTTTTCAAGTATAGATCAGAAACATTAGTTCAATATTGCTTAGTTGTTTTGGGATCAGCTCGTATTATGAATTTGTTAAACTTGCTTTGTAGTTTGAGTTGCACTAAATAGAAAATAAATCATATGCCTTAGAAATTGGAGATATAAGATATATTTTTCAAGTCTAGAACGGGTGGACTGGGAGCAGTAACTTGTGAGAGTCTTTTCTGCTAACTGTTACTAGCAATAACAGAATAAAAGTAGAAGATTTGTTTTTGTGGTATGGACAACTTGTTGGATTTTGGATATTGTTGAAAGTGAGGCTTGCTTCACCTAAGTTTTAGAAGAATTAGGAGAAGTTAGTGCAAACAAAATGGAGAGAAAGTTTTGTATGATGTTAAAGTTTGACCTATTTGATGAGTTAGATGCAACAGATGAGATAATAGCTTGTAACTTTCCAATTTCATTACATGTCAAGTTCTTCCATATAAAATAGTAGTAAATAGAATTGTAAAGGCAGTCTATGGTCAAGTGCTTTTTTCCTCACTGACTATGTTTATCGGACTCTCCAAATATGTTATCACACCCACGCATGTGCTGATAAGTGAACTAGAAATCGGACTCTCCAAATTTGAGTTCCACTAGCTAAGTCTACTGTCCGAAAAAGTGAACTAAAAATCATCTTTTAAGATTGCATATTCTGCTATCTCCTGTTGTTCTGTTCCTCTTTAATATGAATTTTGTCATACATACATAAAGCTTACACTTCTGCTCATTCGCATGTTTTAACTCTTCCAGCCAAGGACATATTTAAAAATGAGAAATTTGGGGTTGTTCTTTACACTTCTGCTCCTCACGATTTTCTTGTTGAATAGTGAATTCAAAAGCTCTAATTAGATGATTCATGCTATGTTACTTACCTAGTACTTATTGGATATCTTTTTTATAGTTTGAAGGTTGATCCACGCTGATCTTACTTGCGACTTGTACAGCTTCCATGGATCAGATGAATTGATTGAAAAAAATATAATGAAATATGACTTGACAAGTGTAGCATGTGCTAATGAGATAATCATCTCATTTTGGTATATTGAGTCAGTTTATTCTCCATGTCTTTTTATGTAAACATGAATATATAACTTCTTAAATGTCTTTAATTTATAGGACACATAGTAGAAATAAGGTATTAAAACTAGCATCTCTCACTTTTAGGACATGAAGTAACTCATTAAGTATGTAAAAGAATACTGAATTAAAATAAGTGATAGATACAACATTTAATATTATCCATTTCCTTTATCAAATTATGTGAAAGTTTCTGCTTTGTCACGATATATGTTGGATATGATATCCATTTCCTTTATTCAGTCAATGGCATAGTGACAAAATTTACTATAGAAAATGCGACGAAGACTAGGATAGTAATTGCAGATAGAGACATACATATATTGGGATCGTGGACATTAAGATTGCTAGAGATTCACTTTGTAGTCTCATTATGGGGTCTTCCGCTGATAAGGTTTATTACAAGGTCAGAGTTGTTATTGCCGAGTCGAGATGCTTTGTTTTTTCTTTCTTTTTTTTTATAGGATGTTTAAGTATCAAAGTTTGATTTTGTTTGAAATTATTGGATCTTGAGATTTTGACCAAGTTCTGTCTTTTTCAAAAGATGAACATTTTAAGTATGGAGTGATTATATGTGTACTAGGCGATGACCATATAATTTTGGTTTCATGGTTATATCTTTGTGTTATCTTATATATGCTAAGCGTAGCTACAAAGTGTGGCCTTTTTGACTTTGAGTCTACGCTTAAAAGTGTTGCTCATATGGCAATACTTCTAAGCGTAGGTAAAAAGTGTGGCCTTTTTTCCTTTTGGCTACGCTTTTAAGTGTAGCTGATAAGGCTACGCTTGTGAAGCGTCGCCTAAACTCTAAGGTTTCACTGCTTTCGGCCACACCCGAAAAAGTGTGGCTTAAAGTCAAAAAGTATGGCTTTTTACCAAAGGCCACACTTTTTCATAGTTTAGGCCACACTTTTCTAGGGTGGTTGGAGACATAAAATGTTGTAGTGAGAATAATAAAACAATAGAAACAAACCTAAATATAAAATGTTGATTTGAATATGCAAACATTTATTGAGAGAATGAAGGAATAAATTAAAGAGGGAGAATAAGAAGAAGAAAGTAAGTTTACCGCTGGACATGAGATAGGTTGTTGAGATACTCACACATTACTCATAATAGAAAGTTACCAATACTTACCTGATTGTTAGAGTAGATTTTCAAATCATCTGATTCAATCTTTTCCACAAGATTAGATTAAGTTGTTAAAGTAGATTCTTAGATTTAGTCAAGTTAGTTACATATTAAGTTGTTAGAGTAGTTCCATAGAATTAGCCAAGTTAGTTACGTCTTACTAGTATTTAAGTTGATGTTATGATTGAATAAGATCATTCAAGTTTGCTTTGATTCTCAATCTCTTTATGGTTGCACAGACTCTCTAACACTCTCAACGTTAAAGTGTGTGACCATCTCTTCTAAACTTAAGATGTTAGAGAGAGAATACACTTTTATTATTTGATTATATTTTCAACAAGTCTCATCACGCGCGGATCTGAATTTTTTCATGAGTCAAACACGTGGAAATTCATTTTGATTTGGGTGGCAGTGAGATTCGTCTTAGAACCTTGCCTACTCTGATACCATGTTGAAGTGTGTAACCATCTCATCTAAAAATTAAAGTTGTTCGAGACACTAGACTTTTATTTGTTAATTATATTTTTAACACTCACGAGTATAATCCAATTTTTTTTGTCTATCTCTTCACGTCCAAAACATGATTGTACCTGCTACCACCAGTGACACTGCTGCTACAGTTCCGACTACCCTCATGTGGTACAGTTCAATCCAGCTACCCAATTACCCATCAAACTGCAAGGTAACCTCAGCTTTGCGGGTTGTACCTGCTACCACCGCTACTCATCTCATTTATAAGTTTAAATTGTTAGAGAGAAAACATTTTTATTATTTAATTATATTCACAACACGTTCCCTCACGTGTGGGCCTGGTTATTTTTCATGGGCTAAGCACGTGGAAATTCTTTTTTGATTTAAGTGGCGGTGAGATTCGATCTCAGAACCTAAACTCGGCTCTGATACCATGTTAAAGTGTCTGAATGTTGACACCCAATTTAGGCTCTAATAATAATAGTAATAATAATAATAATAATAATAATAATAATTATTATTATTATTATTATTATTATTATTATTATTATTATTATTATGTTATGAGATTTTGTAAGAATACAAAAAGATTTTAAATTATTTATTTTTACTTGATAAATTCATCTCATAAATGTTATTTCTTATTAAAAAAATATAAATATGTTATATATATTACTACTTACTTTCTCATTTTTTTAAAAATAAATGTTATTCTTAAAAAAAGAATCTACTTTTGTTTAAATATAATTTCTTTTGATCATAATAGATATTTTTTATTCATTTGTTTAAAATTAGAAAGCTTATTTAACTAACGAGTTACTAATTTATATTAAATATAATTTTAAGAGTGGCTAATTTTATCAAATAAGTTGCTCTTGTAAAATAATTATTTTTAATTTAATAAATTAGACTATTTTATAAAGAAGATGCTATAATTTTAATGATTTTAATTTGCGCGATTTTGATAATCCATGTCTCCTTTAACCGATCGATCCATGTATGCCACGTAGGCGAGCACATGAATTGTGTTTCTTTAGATTAAATATCGACTTTACAATTCAATCTAATAGTCCTAATTAATTCAGTTTTTACTATTATATGATATATATATATATATATATATATATATATATATATATATATATATATATATATTTCTTTTTAATTCCTCATTTATCTTAACTGTTTGATTAAATTATCAGACGATCAAAATCAAATAAGACTTTTTCATCTTTTTCCAAAATAGTACAACCCATCAGCCGTTGCAGACTTCTATTTTTTCCAGAAACACGCTTCTTCCCCACACCTACAACGTCGCAGCGTCTTCTTCTTTTTCCAGAAAAAGTGGACACGCCTCACTCTTTCTCCTCCTTCCCCAGGCGTCTGCATATTGCGTGCTCACCTTTCCCGTGTTCCTTCGTCCTCTCTTATCAATCGTCCATCACCCGTTGCCAAATAAACGGACATGGACTGTCGGAAAACAATGATATCCGACGGTCTTCAACATCACCTATTCCCCCTATCCGCCGTCCATCAATCACATCTCTCATTTTCTATCAATATTATCATCTTTTCCAACTATTTTTCTAGCCCAAAGCAGGTCACAGGTCTAAAAGCGCCAGTGCTAGCCTGAAAAGGTGAATGATGCAAAGAACCGTTGAATTTTGATTGGTTATGCCTTAATCTAATGGGTTTTAGAGTGTAACTATTCCAAAATTGGCTATAAAAAGTCTTTTGGTTCGCATTGAAATTGATTCGGAGAAAAGAGTGAAGGAACCAACAACAACTACAAAAAAATCCATAAAAGATCTCGGAAATCATCCAAAAGCGGATTAAAAATGACATTCGAAATCAACCAAGAACATTCAGAGTTCAGCCAACAAATTTTTTTAAAAAAAGAATCAAACAACATTCCAGGGTATTAAAATTAGATCGTACTATCATCTTTCCGTCCTTTATTTTTTATTTGTTTCGAATTCAAGTTTGAGGGAGTTAGAAGTTAGAATATTTGATGTCTAAGCTCTAGTTTGTTACTCAACACAAAGTAAAACTTCTTCCTATCTTGATTTATTTTATCTTATTGTGTTTCTCGTCTTTCGTAAAGAAATAAATATAAAAATTTAGTCATAATTATTCTCTTTAGAAATTTCTATTTCGAAACTTAGTTCATCGAGTAGCTTGCACTGTTTCTACTGCTTTGAGTGTATTTTGATCTTCATACGTTGTTATAACTTCAATTGTGAGT